TCACTGGTCCAACTCCACACAACGTGTATCCTTCATACAGCGTTGCCATGTTTCTCCGCGGCTAAGTGATTTCTTCTATCGCGAGACTCGTCCCACCGTAAAACCAGAACGAGAGAATTTCTACACAATCTTTGCAACACTGCCTCACTGTGGTTTGGAGTAAATAATGATCTTAAAGGTCACATATTGTACACCTTTCTGGAGTTTTATTTTAGGTTTTGATGGCCTTAAGAATATATATTTGCGGTATAGATCCTTTCATCGAACGCACGCGCGTTACCATGGTAACCCGTCTGGCCCTAAGTTAACTTCCGGTCTGTGTTTGTTTATCGATCAGACTCATTGTATATAATTGTATAGTAATTATATATTATTATAATTATATAATCTTAACTATTATTAATATTTCAATAAGTCCAAACTTCATATTTACGATTGTAATAAGTAAATAAAAATAAAAGTCCAGTTGTCATTTTATAACTTTTAATACAATATTGCAAACTACAGTTTCTTGGCTTGTAATAATATCCTTATTTACTTAATATTTTGGCATAAAAGAGAAATGTATAATTGTGACCCATACAATGTATTGTTGGCTATTGCTACAAATATACCCCAGCGACTTAAGACTGCTTTTGTGGTTTAATATTTGAATAAGTCCAATCTTTATATTATGATGGGAACTGAGTGAAATAAAAGACAAATTGTCATTGTATAAATGGTAATAAAATATCGCACTCTGCATTATTTAGGCTTGTCAGGAGCATTTGTGTCAGATTTGGCAGCTTGATTTCTGGCCCGTCAGTGATGTGGTGTGTGTGAACAGCTGTGTGAAGCCTGGATGATGACTGGGGTCCGAGCTTCATGACGTCTCTGCTTCTCTCCTCAGACGGATGTGATGCATCAGAACGTGTTCGACTACATTCACGTAGACGACCGGCAGGAGTTCAGACGGCAGCTGCACTGGGCTATGAACCCTTCGGCTCAAAGCGGCTCGGGTGCGACTTCAGCCACATATAACACACACACTCCAGACTCACACTCGCTGTGTAACGCTGGTGTCTGTTCTGTAGGTGAAGATCTCGTGGTCAGCAGTTTGTTTCAGTCTGAGACGGGCGACGTTCCTCCAGAGTTCTCCTGCTTCCTAAACCGCTGCTTTATCCTACGCGTCCGCTGCTTACTGGACAGCACCTCCGGATTCCTGGTGAGGGGTTCCTTCAGCTTTCAGTGCACAGTGCACAGGCCACAATCACAGATAAACAGAGGAGTGTGTGTGACGGGAGACTTGTGTTATGCTTTTCATAACCCTTTGACTGAAGAGCAGCTCCTAACAGTGTTTGCCATGAGATTTTTCCGTAAATACATTCCACAGAGAAATAATTCCAGACCGGTTTCATGGTTTCGGCTCGAGTTTGAGATCTCAGGGTGTGATTTGGCTTTGTGTGCTTCAGGAAAGACTGTGTTTGCTGCACATGAACAGGGTTAGACAGCTGCTCTTGACGTTAATGTCCTGAAGATGTTACCGTACATAATCACTCACAACTTTAAAGGGTTAGTTCACCCAAAAATGAAAATTAGCCCATAAATTACTGACCCTCAAGTCATCCTAGGTGTATATGACGTTCTTCTTTCAGACGAATCTAGTCGGAGTTATATTAAAAATGGTCTTTGATCTTTCAAGCTGTTTAATGCCACTCAGCGGGTGTTGCATGCATCAGTCCAAAAGAAGTGAAATAAAAAGCGCCCATCCATAAAAAAAAGTGTCTCACACGGCTCCGGGGGGTGAACAAAGGCCTTCTGTAGTGAATCAATGCGTTTTTGTAAGAAAAATATCCATATTCAAAACGTAATAATCACTTTAATGTAGCTTGCTCCAACCGTTGTACACTGGACGTATGAGTTCAGCTCTGCGCATGCACCACTCAGAAGTGACGTACACAGAAGCGCAGCGGAGAGATCAAAACAAAACAACGGTCACTTATTAGAAGTACAAAACGAGGATTTGTAAAGAAGAATGTCGGAGGATTTGGATATAAGCCAAGAGGAGACTGGTTTTCCTTTGCTAAAGTAAGGAAACTTTGCTTCCTTTGCTCCTGTTAACAAACGTTGGTTTTCACGAGACGCACCGGCGCATGCGCAGCGCTGACCTCATACGTCATCTGTCCGGAGCTGCTTCTGTGTACAACTGCTGGCGCAAGCTACATTAAAGTGATTATTACGTTCTGAATATGGATATTTTTCTTACAAAAAAGCATCGATTCGCTACAGAAGGCCTTTGTTCACCCCCCGGAGCCGTGTGGGACACTTTTTTTTATGGATGGGCACTTTTTATTTAAGTTCTTTTGGACTGATGCATGCAACACCCGCTGAGTGGCATTAAACTGCTTGAAAGATCAAAGACCATTTTTAATATAACTCCGACTGGATTCGTCTGAAAGAAGAACGTCATATACACCTAGGATGCCTTGAGGGTCAGTAATTTATGGGCTAATTTTCATTTTTGGGTGAACTAACCCTTTAAGAACAGAGTGAAGATGCCTGAACTTCTCTTTGCTTCCAGACGATGCAGTTTCAAGGACGATTAAAGGTCCTTCAGGGTCAGAGGAAGAAGACGGCGTCCGGAGCACTCCTGCGTCCTCAGCTGGCGCTGTTCTGTGTAGCTGTGCCTCTGCTCCTGCCCTCCATCACCGAGATGAAGATGAAGAGCGGCGTGATGAAGGGCAAACACAGGAACCCCTGCGTTCTCACCTCATTAGATCACAAGTAAGAGCAGATTCTTTCCTGCTTGTGCAGTTCAAAAACAGCCCTTCATGAGACTGTCTATAGTTTGGAGAATTATATTCTTTGCATTACTATATTTTCAGACTAATATTGCATAGATTCAGGCATGATGGAGAGTTATGGGAACAGTTAGTGCTGATTCATGAGTCTGTGTGTGTTTGTCTCGGCAGTGACAGAGACGATCCTCTCAGACCTCTCGCGCTTCTGAGGCCACACATGAGCGAAGACGTCAAGTACAGGAGCGAAGGTCCCTACGGTCCAGACGAGCCTCTGAACTTCTGCAGGTCGAGCGGTCAGAACCTGGACTGCGGCGCGTGGCCCGTGAGAAGCTCCGGCGCTCGGCTCTGCAACCACACGCACTACGGTAAACCGTATCGATCGACCCCTGGATATTACAGTAACAGAGCTGAGGCGTACGGGAGTGCCGCGCACGACTACAGCACAGACAGCATCAAGAGCGAGAACTTCTGCTACGAAGATCCCGGCGAGGGATACGACGCACACGTGATGATCGAGCCGCTCGTAAAGCTGGAGCAAGACTCGGACGTGGAGAACGGCTGCGGACGGCCCTGGACGGCGCTCGAGCGTTTCCCAAACGGCACGCAGATGAAAGCGGAGGGTGGATACGGCGAGCAGTACTCCTCCTGCCAGAGGCTGAAGGGAACGACGTACAGCAGTCATTATCCCTCTAACGCTTACGGTGGGGCACGACCGCTCAAGTGCGTCCTGAACAGAGAAGCAGTGAACTCTCAGTGTGTGGACACCTACGCTGCTGACAACAGAGGGTACGTACAGCACGACTACAAAACGGGTTACGAGGTCAGAGGTCACGGGCTGCTTCACTGCATCAAACAGGAGCCCGTCGACGCTCCGCTGTGGCACGACATCCACAGCACCGGCCAGAGGAACAACACAAGCTGTGCCAAGATCAACCCGTGCGTCTTCATGCAGTAGCGCTTCACTTTCATTCTGCCATTTATTCAGTTTGAATCTGGACACTCATGTGCTGCGTTTCAAACCCACAATCATCCTGTTGCTGGCACACACACAAACACACAACACTGCAAAACATGATGTTCTTCCTCAGGATTTCTGCCTTGTTTTTCAGCACAAATATCCAAACATCCTTAAATCCAGATACATTTACTGGAGATGCAAAATGACTTGATATATGTGAGCCTGCAGCACAAAAGCAGTGTTAAGTCGCTGGGGTATATTTGTAGCAATAGCCAACAATACATTGTATAGGTCAAAATTATAGATTTTTCTTTTATGCCAAAAATCATTAGGATATTAAGTAAAGATCACGTTCCATGAAGATATTTAGTAAACTTCCTACCATAAATATATCAAAACTTAATTTTTGATTAGTAATATGCAGTGCTAAGAACTTAATTTGAACAACTTTAAAGATGATTTTCTCAATATTTAGATTTTTTTGCACCCGCAGATTCCAGATTTTCAAATAGTTGTATCTCAGCCAAATATTGTCCTATCCTAACAAACCATACATCAATGGAAAGATTATTTATTCAGCTTTCAGATGATGTATAGATCTTGACCCTTAATTGACCCTTATGACTGGTTTTATGGTCCAGGGTTACATATGAAATCTTGATTTCTGAAAAAGTGTTCAAAATTGATTTTACAAGAACAACTATCTGTTTTTCCTTTGAACTTTTGTTGTTGTTGTTGTTGTCTGAGCTCATTGACTGATATTTGTTCGGGGTTTTTTTCAAGCTTTAAGTCACTCATTTAGATTCATTTTTTCAGAAAACAAGCCATTTTTGCTTGTATCTTGAGTCAAGAATGTTTAATTTTTGTACTGAAAAACAAGACAAAAATACTAAGAAAATCATTTATTGCAGTGAAGTTTTTTGTCAGGTTCAGTGTTTGAGTGTCTGGTTTAGATTTTCTTTGGTGGGCTTTCATTATGTTCTTCTATTTACTTTTGTATAGTCAGGCTAATATTTCTTTCTTATTTTCTGTTTATTGAAAATGGACAAGTAAAAATTACTAACAGAAAAATGAGAACAGAAAAAAATGACAATAATCTGAAATGATTCTGCTTATTTCATTTGAAATAGTAAAAGACAAAGATTGATTTGAAGGTTCAGGATTTGCTGAGCGTCTAATAGTACATCATCATGATCACTGGTTTAATTTTAACAGTTGTTTTATTAAAGCATTTCATCTGCATGTTTATGAAGTTTAAAGGTTTAAAAACGGAAGGATTTCACCTGAAGTTTGTGTTCAGATATCAGCCGGATCAACGACACAGATCTTCTTATATCTCACTAAACAGCCAAGAGGTGAAAAAACTAACTAATATGTTGAAGCAGACCAGTAATAAAACATATTCAATAATAAAAGTCAAATATTTAGGCTCTTAAACATTGTGATGTTAAATTCGCTTCAGCATTGATGAGTGTTTAATAGAGCATGCTCTGAAGTTTCTGAAGACTTTATATAAAACTACTGTTTAAATGTATCAATAAATAGTAATGTATTAATAAATAATAATGCTGCACTTGCACTATTGGGGCTAGAAACCCTGCGAGACGTAATGTCCTCGTGACACGCTTGGCTTCCTGGTGATTAATGAGCTGTTTCTGGAAGGTTCATTTCTAGCAATAATTTGTATTTATTGTTTAATGACCTTTTGCACTTTTTCAGGAAGGATTTTAACACGACGTTTTGCCTCTGGCATTCAATATGGGCAATAAATATTAACAGAAGATACAGTGATGCAAAGCAGCAACTCAAATGTGGGTCTTCCTGTTATATTTATTACTTTTATAAAAATAAAAATCTTGTATGACAAAAAGTCCATGCATATGTACTATTGTAGTGTCTTGCTATGAATAGCGGCAGAAATAATCATTTCCACTTGTGATTCACATTCTCCTTTTGAACACTTTAATAAGTGTGTGAGTAATAACAGTGAATTTGTCAGACATAAACAGATCTGCAGAGGCCAGTATTTTGGGGGGAAAGAATGTTTACCAGAACATCATGTGACAACAGAAGATTTTTAAAGCTTAAATCAGGGTTCTGCTGTAATGAAGCAAACACAGAGAGACCCAGCTAGTCCCAGCAGATGGAGATGATTTAATCCAGTTTAACCCTGATCTGCTTCAGCAGCTGTAGTGAGGTGGAGCTGGGATTAAATCATCTGTCCAGATGAATTATTCAATTGAAGCAGTGAATCTACTTTGAATTGAGCGGCTTTGCTCTCCATGCACACGTCATCAGGATGATATAATCGCATCAGATGCCCCGCCCACCGCCACTCAACACTCACTCCTATTGGTGCTGACATCGTCTGGTGGGCGGAGCTTGTCTCTTCACTCACACCTGTAAGAAACGCCTCAGACGTGTAGATATCGTTCATAAACATGTTTGTTAACACTCATGATCATTTCTGCATGGACACAAACACTCGTTATCACCATCACAAAGCATTTACACGTCTGAAATGTAAGTCCAGTAAAAGTTGAGACTGTCTAAAAAATAGTTTGTGTTTAAAGTGTTTGTGTTTAAAATCCTATCAGCTTGTTCAACATCAGATCTGTAAAACTGCTGTAGGGCGACATCTAGTGGTCATCTGAATCAGCTCGTCCATCTCCAGGATCTGCAGGAAAAATAGATTCCAGAGACATGCAGAAACACTCTTGTACATATCTTTATATGTGATCGTTGCACATGAGTATTATTCAAGTTGCCATAACACGTGAAGTGATCATGTTCAGGTGGAGTTTTCTCACAGGCGTCTGTCAGTCGGTCTTCTTCAGCTGGGCCTCTGCGGGTCTGTAATGGGAGATTATTTGTCCCAGTATGAGAGAGTTTATGAGCAGAAACAGCAGCCCGGCGATCCAGATGAGAGCGAAAGTGTTCCAGCCCTCGAACTCCAGATAATACGCCGGCGACAGCCACAGCGCCTGCGAACACGACAGACGGCTGCCCAAACCACAGACTCACGCTGTTAGAAACACAAGACGAGGAATATTCATCTCACCTGTCCCACAAACCACAGCAGCAGCAGCCCGAGGCCTCGTCTCAAACCCAGCGTCAGTCGAGGCAACACCAGCGGCAGCAGACACAGATACCACAGAAAATACTGCAGAGAGAAGCACAGCAGCACACGGTCAGCAGAGGCTTCAGACGCCGAAGAAACAGCCGAGAGCCGCGTGCGTGCGCACCTGTGAAGTGCAGACTTTGTTGAAGCTGACGAAGACGGCGGTGTGGATGAAGCAGCAGAAGGGCAGGTCGCAGCGGAAGGCCAGCGAGGACAGCAGCAGCAGCAGCATCTGCGGCAGACACACACACACACACACACACACACACACACACACTTCCGTGTCCCGAATCCACGTGACTGCAGATCACAAGAGTCTGACCAATCGGAGAAGTGCCATGAAACACCGCCTCTTTTGTGCCACGCGACTCATTTCTGTCACTTCTTCTTCTTCTTCTTCTTCTTGTTGCTTTACGGCGGATCGCAGACTTATAAGTGCATTACCGCCATTTCTGTCACTTCGACATTGATCAATATATTCATGTGTACAGTTTGTTCAGGGATTTTACTGTTCGATTAAAACGAAACAAACCTTGAAAACAGAACATATTGCATCAGTCCAGTGCGACCGAAGCGATTTTTGAACCGATATTAGTTATTAGCTATTTTTTTTGTTTGTTTCAAGCGTACCATGCGCATCATCTCCGCCGTGGCGTGATGACGTTTTTCCGGCCGAGCGTCAGACGGTGGATGGAGGAATAACAGCGAGCAAAACATACAGTAAAGATGAACATATTCACTTAGTATTACTACTATAGAACATGTGAAATGCGGCTGAATTGCACAAGATAATCAAGTATGGTGTACATGTGCTGTTGTTTGGTTATCGCGTGTTGTTTGTTTGGCTTTAATCATTAATCACTGTGACGTCACCTTCCGTCGCGCTGATTTTTCTCCTCAGACTGTGTGTGTGTGTTTATATTCCTAACGCCACTCGAGCTGTCCTCACAAACCTCCTCAGGACGACTGCTCGTGTGTCTCCGCAGGCCGTGACTGCGACCGTGTGTGGAGCGATGGCCACACCGTTTGTTCCGGTACCCGTGCCCATTGAGCGCGCTCCGCGGGCGGACCGTAGGAGAGAGAGAGCCGCGGCTCCGGACAGATGCCCGAGTCCCGTCACCCGCGCCAGGCTCAACGGCACCGAGCGCTCGGTGGAATATTCCAGCTACCCGCTTCCAGAGACTCCGGGACAGAGCTGGGAGGAGCGGCCTATCACGCCCACCGTGCTGGGGTACGAGGTGATGGAGGAGAGGGCCAAATTCACAGTGAGTCCTTCAGATCTTACATTAATCACAGCAGGATCAGCTCCGTTTCTACAGAGATAGTCTGGTTCAGCGTCAGGACCCACATTTCTTCTTCTTCTTCTTCTTCTTCTTCATTGGAGTTTTACGGCAGTTGGCATCCATAGTGTTGCATTAGGACCCACATTTCTCTCGGTTTCTTCTCAGTAGTAGAATTGAGTAAGAACTGCAGCAGGTCTCTCTTCGTGCTCATTGGTTTGTGAGTCATGTGTGTCTGACCAATCACAAGCTGCAGCCCCGCCCACACGTCCTCTAGCTTATCCCTGTGATGGGAGAAACCAGAACATGCATGTTTTTACAAACTGCAAATGTAGTTTAAAATGACATGTATGTATGTATAAGACGTGTTTCTTTATTGCATTGGTTGGCCTGTTTTGGGTGTTTTATGGCTAATCAGGCATGGATAAGAGAAAATGAACTACTGCTCTTCCTTTTTATTATACAAATGTGCTATTAAAATGCTGAAAACTGATCTAAAATCAGGTAAAAACCAAACAGACGCTGGTTTATGGGTTCACTGAGATCATCAACAGTGACATTCTGAAAAGTTTTTAAATGTTTATAAGCCTGATTTACTGAAATCAAATGATGAAGGCAGTGCTCCGAACCACTGATTGGAAACAAGAGATTTGAGGGGCTGTTGTAGCTGGGAAAGGGGCTAAAGATCATGAGTCTTACTGGTCTGATGATTCTGCTCAGTGTTTTCTTCTGTCTGGTGTGTAGAAATGACTAAATGTCCATCTGCTGCAGGTCTATAAGGTTCTGGTGAGGAAGACTTTGGACGAGAGCTGGGTCGTGTTCAGACGCTATACTGACTTCTCAAGACTCAACGACAAGGTCAGTAAGATCGACGTCTCTGAGTGTTCAGCAGCAGTTCCAGTGTGTGTGTGTGAGAGAGAGAGAGAGTGTGTGTGTGTGTGTGTGTGTGAGAGAGAGAGTGTGTGCGTGTGAGTGTGTGAGAGAGAGAGAGAGAGAGAGTGTGTGAGTGTGTGAGAGAGAGAGAGTGTGTGCGTGTGAGTGTGTGAGAGAGAGAGAGAGAGAGAGTGTGTGAGTGTGTGAGAGAGAGAGAG